ATTTGGGGAATGCAGTAATAAAAGAACATTGAGTTGAGGTATAATTTCATTTTATTAAAAATGAACATGCCTATTATTGGTACAAAATTACTTATTGCAATGATGTTTGCTATCTGATATTTATGCTTATTTATTTTAAGTCTAACTGAACTTAATAAAATTTTTTCTATGCCTGTGTACATAATAAAATAAACTGTCAATACTTGGAAAAGAGTGCACAGCACATTTCAAAACTGCTGAAAAGAAACCAGTGGGAAATCATGCTGCATTTAAAAAGCTAAACCACAGGAAAAGAAATCCCAGCTCTCCATTCTTCCTTTTCAAAACTTAATCACTGCCCCAGAATTTTATGGTGTAGATTTTCAGAACCAATTCTGCCAATATTATTTCAAGCTCCCTGATTTTCTGAATGTAGTACCACTCCTAAAATTCTTTACCTTAACAAATTTTTTAAGAGCTTCAAGTCCTTTTCTTTTTCAGTCATTATAGTGTTGAATCCAGTAACATGTGTGTAAAGCAGTAGACTGTAGATAACCTTGTGAATAAAAGGGGTAAGATAGCAAACTAAAGATAGCAAACAACACACGAAGAAACATAAATTCAGTTCCTGAAAGGCACTGTTTGGATATTTATCCCAGAGATATACTGATCCTCCTCAGCTGTTTTGACCATCTCTTGCCCTACAGTATCACTCCAAACATTTTTGCTGTAATCCTGGATGTTGTATGCGAACGGACCAATGAAATCATTTAATTATTTGTAGGCACTGTATCTGTCTCTTATATGACTGTTTACGCATTTCTAGTGAACACGGTGGCTAAGTACAGACAGTCATAAAACCTGAGGTGGAAGTGATTCAGTCTTTGCACGTTTCTCTAAACTGCATCGATTGGACCAATAATGACTTGAACTGACAATCAGTTTTTAATTGGGAAAGGCAAGCTGAGGGCTGCACTGATCCAGGCCAGAAGTCAGGGGCATTGCAGTACCTCCCAGCCTACCCCTGTGAGGGAGAAAGAGTCCCCACTCCTAGTGCTAGCCCCACAAGCTGGGTATCTGGCCACAGGGGAAGCCCCATACCACCACCCCTAGCTTGCCTGATACCCCCAGCCCTGGTCTGCCCAGCTGCAGCAGCAAGGAGGCAAGGATAATTCCCTCCCCCTTGCAGGGATGGGTCCACATGGGTCAATGACATACAGGGGAGAAAAGAATCCCCCCCTCCTGGGGCTGGTCTCTGAGCCTGGCACCTGCCACATGGGGAGCCCCAAACTGGAGATCCTCTGAGACCTGGTCTGCCCAGCTATGGGGTGGGGAGGAGACCTGGTCTTCATAGCAGGGCTGGTGTAAGTCACTGATACACACACGGGGGGGTGCGGGGCAGGGGAAATGAAGCTCCTCATCCTGGTCTCAGTCTCCCAAGCTGGGGGGTCTTCCCAGTTAGGGAGGGCAGACCCCAGAAAGTCTTGCAGACATCCAAGCTTATCTTAAATTAGGTTCGGTCATTTTGAAACTTCGCGTACACTTAACTTCTGTTCTGTTACAGATTTAAACTGGTTTCTGATCACTTACACCGGGTTATATGAATTTCTGTCCCTAGCCTGCTTTTTTATGTACCAGCCTCTCATTTTGGGATACAGTATGATCAAAACTATTGGGTTCAAACATAATTGGCACCTGTACTGTATAGTATATTCAGACACAATGGATTTAAACGGAAAATATTTGCCCTCATATTCAATAACATAGTACATTTATATAAAGCTGAGATACTGAAGTAATGATTTTCAGTCACTTTTGTCCAGGTTTAATATAAATGAATATTCCTAAGATGCAAGTTCAGTAGATGCAATCACCATGACTCTTACTGAATATAAAACTGACAATTTCACACTCTTCTTTTAGTTACTGAATTTTGATCTAATAGAAAATCTTTGAAACTTCTGGATTATTGATTTATACATTTGAATTAGTGAAAGACAGACTTGTTTTTTGGGATTTTTTTTCAACATTGTAGAGTGAAGAACCTGTCAATATTTGTACAATGTGAGCCAAAAAGAGAGGTCACATTATTTATGGTGTAAGTTACATCTGTGCAAGTGGATGTGATCTTGTCTTAATCCACTGTTCTATTTACTAAATCATGTTATCTCCAAGCATGAGACCTCTTCACAAAAAGGTTCTCAAGTGTCACAACAATAGGTTCTCTGTAGGAAATTAAGTATTTAGATACATTTAGATCATTAGGCCTATCATATTCCATCTATATTTGATTCTGTTGATGTAATACTAAAAATTCTATGTCATGCACAATATTGTATGATAAAGAAAAACCTGTTAAATAGCAGTATCTTTGATTAGCTAAAGAAGAAATTATCAAAATATAAGCTACCTAGTGACATAATAGAACCCATTATATTTGTTATCTACATTTCCACCTAGGTGAATAATGGTGCCATAAAATTTGCAAATATTTGAGAAAAAAATGCTAGTTTCTCCATATATGAACAAAAATGTACATGGTATGAATGATATGCATGCATTAATATCAAATGAGTTAGTGGTGAGTACATTTCACACACTCTGAAGTGTTTTATCTCCAATGATGATAAATAAATAAAATACGAAATTTTTGAGTATCGATTGATGTGGAAATTTAAAATTAACCTTTTTTTCCTATCCCTTCCTATACTATAAAGGGATAGTGACAATATAAATTTGGTCTAAATTCTGATTTTTTTAATTTAAATTTTAACTGGTGAAAACAGATTTCAGACATATGCTGCCCTGTACAGAGAGAAGCTGTTTTTACAGCCCACCCCCACCTTCTCTTTTCTTCTTTTGGTCTAGTAAAAACGATTGCCACCTTGAATGCTGTATCCAAATATAGCCCCAAAAGTTCCAGGTCACTCCAACAAAAAAATGAATAGCTCTACTATTTGTCAAAATAGATAGGCAGGAGAGGCATAACTAAAGGTGACCTACATAAGGAAATACCTGCAAAATAGACATTGCCATTGGACTGGAGCAAAAACCTTTTTAGAATCAAGTGATTAAAAACACATGGGAGTCACTGATGATCAGAGGGAAAGAAGGACATTAACTGAGCATTTGACACTGTCCTTGGAAACTCTACTTGCAGTAAAGCTTACCTGCTCTGCATGCTTCAGGGAACAGATTGTACTGTCCAGTTAAGGGCCAGTATTTTAGCACATGAATCTAAACTAGAGTTAAGTTAAAGACAAAAAAACCCCTATAACATTACATTCATTTTCATCTTCTCTTGTATTGTGAATGAGAGTGATATTCACATAGTACCTGGTGTCTGGTAAACTTTATTTTTCATAGTTTCATAGTTGGAAGGGACCTAAGCAGATCATCAAATCCGATACCCTGCCATGGGCAGAAAAGAATACTACGGTCAAATGACCCCAGCTAGGTGATTGTCTAGCCTTCTTTTGAAGACCCCCAAGGTAGGAGTGAGCACCACTTCTCTTGAAAGTCGTTTCCAGATCCTAGCTGCCCTGACTGTGAAGTAGTGCTTCCTGATGTCTAGCCTGAACCTATTCTTAATCAACTTGTGGCCAGTATTCCTAGTTACTCCTGGTAGTCCTCAGGGGAACAGGGACTCTTCTGTTCCTCACTGGTCCCCCTTGGTAAGTTTATAGACAACCACCAGTCAAGGGCTGCTGCCTTGCTTCAGGCCTTTGATACCCTGCACTGGATGGTGAATTCCAGTAGGCAATGATCACTATCGCCCAGATGCTTGAAAACCCGCAGTCCCCTCACCAGGTAGTCGCCTGTGGCCAGGACCACGTCCAGCAAGGCATTTCCCCTGGTGGCACTGGGCACCTCCTGGGTTAGGTGGAGGTCCTGTATCTCATCTAGAAAACTACATGAGCAGTCAGACCTGGCTGACTGCTCCTCCCAGCATATGCCCGGGTAGTTTAGGTCACCCATTATGACCACATCTCTTGTGTATTTGTAATATTCAATATACAAGTGAGTATAAGCTGGATCCAGCTTTACTGAAGTCAGCAATATTGTTACAGATGGTTTATATAGGCTCAAGGTGAGACCAAAAACCAGAATATTTGACTTTTCTTTTTTAAGTGCTGTGTTGGGAAACTTTCTGCATATCAAATTTTTCCAGATAGTCAAGACCCAAGCCGAAGAAGAGGAACTGCAGATAGATTTCACCAAGCTAAGTAAATGGGCAAAAAATTGCAGATGAACTTAACTGAGAATAAGTACAAGGTAATATACCTGGGGAAAAATAGCCTCAATTATATGTATGCAATGCTGGGTTCTGAACTAGCTGTTATGACTCAGGAAGGAGTCACATTTTAGATAGTTCTCTAAAAATGCAAGCTCAGTTTGGAGCAACAAACAAAAGAAGTCAATAAAATGTTAGGCATTAAGAAGAGAACTGAAAACAAAATGGAGAACATCATCATGCCATTATACAAATCCGTGGTGTGCCCACATCTTTAATACTTCATGCAGTTCTGGTCACCGCATCTCAAAAAGGGTGTAGTAGAGCTTGAAAACATACAGAGAAGGATAACTAAGATGATCACGGGCCTGGAGCAATCTCTGTACCAGGAGATACTAAAAAGGCTAAGATTCTTCAGTTTGGAAAGGGGAAGACTAAGAGGAGGGGGGAATACGAGAAAGGTCCATAAAATCATAAAGGGTATGGACCAAGTGAACAGGGAGCTGTTGTTCACTAAGTCACAGAACACTAGAACTAGGAGGCTGAAATTAGTAGCAGATAGGTTTAAACCTAAAAGGAGAAAGTACTTTTTGTGCAACACAAAGTTTACTTATGGAATTCATTGACACAAGAACCAGTGGAGGCAGACAGCATAGTCAGGTTCAAAAAGGGGACTGAATAAATTCATGGACGATAAATCTATTAATGGCGATTGAACAAAGTGGCTGGATATGTTTCCCCTCGCGATTCAAAACCAATAAATGATACATGTCGGGGGGGTATTGAATAGGTCAGTGGTTTTCAACCTGTGGTCCACTGACCCCTGAAGGTATACAGCCTATGTCTAAGGGATCCAGAAAAGATGACTAGGATCAATCAAAAGGATGTGAACACCCACCCTTAAAATTCAAAGAAGTCCACATCTCCATTCAAAATTTCCAAAGGGGTTCACACTTCTATTAACATTTTTTTAGGGGTACACAAAAAAAAAGCTTGAAAACCACTAGAATTAAGGGTAGATCATTGTAGAGTTATTGTGTTCTGTGTTCTCCCTCTATCACATCCATTTCTACCACTGTCAGAGACAGGTTACTAGGCTAGATGGATCATTAATATAGCCCAATATGGCACTTCTTAGGCTCATGTATTCTTATGTTCTCACCAACTGCTTCCCTGAAATTAATAAGGATAAATTAGTAAGTAAGAAATTAGTGAGACAGGTTTAAACCTAATAGAATTATAAGTAGTAAATTATTATTCTATAACATTTTCTTTTCTTTTTTCCAAAATCCATTTGTTGCTTACTGTTACTGGGAAAGTTGACTGCTGCAAATACATTGTTCCTTTTTCTAGTGGGTGAGAGAGATGATTAGAGTTTGATAAAAAAATTTGCATTTCTTTTTCATTTCTTCACTAAAGCTAGCTACCTTCAGTTTGACTATTCCTAGCAGCGTACTATACCTTGCTGTTAATGACTTCCCCATTCACAAGATCCATCAGCTCTATTCCTTTTTTCACATTGGAACATTTTAATGAATGTACTTTCTTATTCATCTGAGATGTCCGTAATCATTTGGGTAAAGACATCTGTTTGTAGTTGAGGCCCAAATACTGTATAAAAATACAACATGCTACTTACTTCCATTGACCCTTGTGAGGATGTGCAGTGGTGGACAGGGGGAAACAGACCTTCACATCTTTGAATTCCAAGGAAGCAGGCAAAACTTCTGTGCTCCATCCAAGCTCCTTCAGAAGGACAAACCCCTCCATAACCTCTCTTCCTCCTCTTCTGTACATGGCAGAAGTGATTTTCCTAGATAAGTGTTGTACTGGAGATCAGGGACCTTCATGTCAGAGAACTCATAATGGCTCCCAACACACTCCTTCACTCCCTTACATTCCCCAGTATGTGGAGTGTTCCCAAATGAAAGCCTAACTCATTGAAGTCAATGATAGTAAGCTCTGACTCTTGCAGTATCCATCCTGTAGTTTCTTTTCTTCTGTTTGGGCATCATCTATTATTGCATGTTCACCTCTGTGGAATCTAGGTGAATTCTAGAAATGTTTTAAACAAAGTGATTCTCACCTGTTACTCTGAAAATTCATGTAGAATGTATTATAAGGTTCAAAATAGTGACTATGGAATTGCTAGGATTCTCAGGCCTGGCTTGCACTGGCAAAATATGTCATGTTAAAAAGGATGTTAGTTGTTGTGTTCTCACTAACGTGATGTTAAACATGACTTAATAACTAGTGTAGAGGGCAACAAGTCATAAATCAATAAATAGTTGTGCTTATGTTTACCAATATAAACAGAACACCTCTTGTTCACACTTAAGAAAATTTATGTGCGACAAAGGGTGAGCTGGCTGGCTGATGTGTTGTTCAATATGCTTCATTTCCATAAGGACCTCTCTGTTTTTCAGTGCCACAGCCAGCCTCTAAGACAGTATGCTTGAAAATACTTGTAACAGAAAATGTTCCCTCCTCTGTTTCTTCTTAGAACTGTAGGCATATTGTGTGTAGGTGGGAGTAGGAAGTAGGAGAGAACCAGGTGGAGAAGCTGCTAAATAATAGGTAGGTGTGTCAACTTGCCCCATACCTTACTGGTAGGGTATGTTTGATCTAAGTACTATATCTTTCAATACAGAATCAAATGGACAACCTCTGAATGGGAATTTACCACGCTTACTTTCCAATTTGTATTAGCTAATCAGGGACTGGGATGTTTCTTTCCGACCTTTAAATCATTTAAATAAAATCTGTTAGTGAAAAACTGAGGTTTCAGGCTCTCAAGCTCTTTGGAAATGTGTTTGTTATTTTTATCCACAGCTGACGTGCTAGGGAAGAAGAGCAATTTTGTTTACTCCCAGGTGGCTTAAATTTGATTTGAACTCACAGCAGAGTTTAAGCTGATGAATAGCTTTTTATTGAACATGAATAAATTGAGAAATTCAGATTAGTCAGCCACTTTTTCTTCATAATTTAAATTCCAGAGAAGATGTATTTAGCAAAAAATAGAACACAAAGGTATGCACAGTTGATGAATTGTACCTGATGACTAGCTGAATTAATAAAATCATTAATGAATCTAATGCTGCTGCAGACTTTTCAATTTCAGTGTTCTTATAAAAAAATTATATAAAACAAAGAGAGAACAACTACCATCAAAGATAAAATGAGTCAATGTGTCAGCCAATCAATATTCAGACCGATACTGAGAGAGAGGTTCCTGTTAGTAAACAGACAGCAGCTCTTCATCACAGACTAAATGTAGTGTAACACACACTTTAGGATTATCCAGCTTTAGTATCTGACTGAACAAAATGACAAGACTGTATACCCTTTGCAGCAAGGCTGTTGCCTTCCTTATGTTCAATTCACCTCCAAATTTTTATCCCCTTTATGAAGATTGCATATTCCTGAAATAAAGTAGCACTCACTGGGTACATCTATGCAAGATGTTTACTGTGGAGCTGATTAATTAGCTCCATAGTAAAACGTCACTGTCTAGATGTGCAGTGCTATGAAGTTCCAGTAGACTAATAAATGCCACCATAGGGAAGTCTGGCTAAACACAAATAGTACTTTGCGGCACCATTGTTTCATGCACCACAGCACACTTTTAGACAGTGACTGGGCTGGCTGAGGCATGAGGGTGCTTCAGCATGGGGGTTGCCTACTGACTAGCCCCTCACTGTAGCACCCTTTTGCCCTAGCCAAAAGCACCCTGCAGGCCCTCTGCCAGTTGCGACTGCTCCACCATGGCTCAATGTGCTGTGGTCCAGGTATGTAAATGTTGCACTCAGGAGCAATAAATTTAGTGCAAACTGCACCAGAGTTTATTACTATGTGCTAACTGCATGTGTAGATGCACCTACTGGATGCATCCAGGGGGCATTTTACTATGGAGTGGACTTATTAGCTCTGCAGTAAATCTTCATTGTATAGATGTGTGCTGGCATTAGGGCACAGTAAATTAATTAACTCTGTCATAGGATAGTACTGTTGGGGAAAGTGCTATCATAGAATTATAGAATCATAGAAAATGAGGGTTGAAGGAGCCTTAGGAGGTAATCTAATCCAATCTCCCCTGCTCAAACCAGGACCAGCCCCAACTAGATCATCACAGCTAAGTTTTTGTGTATCCAGGTCTTGAAAACCTCAATGGATAGAGACTCCACAACTTTTCTGGGTAACCTGTTCCAGTGTTTTACTACCCTCCTCATGAGAGAGTTTTTTCCTGCTATCCAAACTAAACCTCCCTTGTTGCAACTTGAGACCATTGCTCCTTGTTCTGTCATCTGCCACCACTCAAAACAGTCCAGCTCCATCTTCTTTAGAACCATACTTTAGGTACCTGAAGGCTGCTATTAAATCCCCTCTGTTTTTTCTTCTCCAAACTGAATAAGCCCAGTTTCCTCAGCCTCTCTTTGGAAGTCATGTGCCCCAGGCCCCTAACCATTTACATTGCTCTCCACTGGAGAGCAACTCTCCAATTTGTCCATATCCTTTCTGTAGTTGGGGGGAGGAGGGGGGCTAAAACTGGACACAGTCCTCCAGATGTGGTCTCCCCAGTGCCAAATAGAGGGGAATAATCACTTTCCTTGATCATCTGGCAGTAATCCCACTAATGAAGCCCAGTATGCTGTTAGTCTTCTTTACAACAAGGGCACACTGTTGGCTTATATTCAACTTATTGTCCACAATAACTCCCAGGTCCTTTTCTGGAGAGCTGGTGGTTAGCCAGTCGGTCTCCAGCCTGTATGGGTGCATAGGATTGTTCCATCCTAATTGCAGAACTTTGCACTCCTGCTTATTGACCTCGTGACCATAAGCGGTGGGGAAAAATATTATTTGGGGGGGGGCTGATTCTTGCCTGATCCATCCCCGCCCCTATCCCACAGGACCATAGCAGAGCGGGGCATGCTGGTGCTATACGTGGCAGCAGAGAAGTGGCTGCATGCTGAGTAGCATTAAGTGCTGTTGGATGGCAGTGCCATGGTGCTACTCCTGTCACCAGTCACCATGAAATGTTTGGGGGGCCTGGGCCCCCTTAGCCCCAGGCATCCACCGCTTATGCTCATGAGATTTATTTTAGTCCACTGCTCCAATTTGTCGAGGTCTCTCTGAATCCTAGCCCTACCCTCCAGCATATCTGCTAGTCCCCACAGATTGGTGCTGAGTGTGCACTCTATCCCATCTTCCAGGTCATTGATGAAATTATTGAACAAAACCAGCCCCAGGATTGACCCCCTGGGAACTCCACTTGATACTGGTTGCTAAGTAGACATAGAGCCATTAACTACTACCCTCTGAGCATGATCATAGAATCATAGAGTTAATGAGTCGGAAGGGACCTAGACAAATCATCAAGTCCAACCCCCTGCCATAGGCAGGAATGACACAGTGGGTGGGAAGGGTCATAAGACCCCAGCCAGGTGCCTATCCAGTCTCCTCTTGAAGATTTCCAGGGAAGGTGAGAGCACCACCTCTCTGGGAAGCCCATTCCAGGCTCTGGCCACCCTTACAGTGAAGTAGTTCTTCCTAATATCTAACCTAAACCAATCCTCCCTCAGCTTGTGGCCATTGTTCCTGGTGACTCCAAGGGGGGCCCTGGTGAACAGACTTTCCCCGAGTCCCTGCTGCTGGCCCCTGATAAGGTTGTAGGCAGCCACAAGATCCCCCCTCAGTCTCCTCTTACGGAGACTGAAGAGATTCAGGTCCCTCAGCCTCTCCTTATAGGGCTGGCCATGGAGCCCCCCAGCTATACAAGTGGCCCTCCTCTGGACCTCTCCAGGTTCCCCATGTCTCTCTTGAAGTGCGGCATGCAGATGATGATCCAGACAATTTTCTGTCCACCTTACAGTCCATTCATCTAGCCCATATATCCTTAGCTTGCCCACAAGAATGTTGTGGGAGACTGTATCAAAAGCCTTGCTGAAGTCACATCCAGTGGGCTCCCCACATCCACAGAGCCAATCATCTCACTATAGAAGACAATTAGGTTGGTCAGGCATGATTTGACCTTGGTGAACTCATGTTGACTATTCCTAATCACCTTCTTCTCCTCCAAGTGTTTAGAAATGGATTCCTTGAGGACCTGCTCCATGATTTTTCAGGAGCTGAGGTGAAGCTAACCAGTCTGTAGTTCCCTGGATCCTCCTCCTCCTCTTTCTTAAAGATGGGCACTATATTTGCCCTTTTCCAGTCATCCAGGACCTCTCCCAATCACCACAAGTTTTCAAAGATGATGGCCAGTAGTTCTGCAATCACATTGGCCAAATCCCTCTGATCTTGCTGCCAGCTCCGGCCTGCTCCACCCCAGCTCAGATTGCTGCTGTCCCAGGCACATGAGTAGATGCTGCTCCCAGGAACAGTATACTCTGGCTCAAACCACTCCGGAGCTTATTCCTTTGCATTATTTGCATGTGTAGATGCATCCACTGTGAGTTATTGATCAGAATTTGATCTTTTTGCAAGTGTTTTAAAGGCTGCATGCCCAAACTTAATTTTGTGCCCTCTTTTGACATTACAACTGTACAATTTTTTCTGAAATACAGTGGAGGGATTTTGCATAGGGAAAAATATGACACTTTGGAAAGCACTTTGACATCCATTCATGTTTACTGACGTAGTCTTATTCCACATGTATTTCACTTCCTAGGATGGCATATAGCTAGAACTGGTAATTTTCTCTTCTGATGATGAGGCAGTGGTTAGGTAGCGTGCTACTCAGTCAGAAAAAAGAGGGCATAACCAACAGAGAAAAGTACTGGGAAGACTCTTATTAAATTCAGTTGGATTTCCCATCAGTCTTTTAAACTTGGATTACTGAGGGTTGCTTATAGGCCATTAAGATGGCACACTACTCTGCAAGGTTTACTGTTATACTTGAGAGTCTAAATAACAAAATGCTTAGTTTTGAAAGAGCTCTGAAAATTCTCTAGCATTGAAAAGATTCATCTTAAGTGTAGACCAGTGAATACTTTCTAACTTCATGCTTTTCAAATTTAGGATAAGATATGCTTCAGAATATATAATGATGGGCCCTTTTCTGAGCCTTTGGAGCCTGGGAAATAATTGTTTTTATTAAAATCCTACAAATAGTAAATAGCTTAGAAGTTGATAATTATTAATTTTTTATTCCATATGATATAGTATACATACATAATAATGTATGCATCCTTTGTGTGTCATTATTTTATAAAATCAGTAACAGTTTTATACTTAAAATATTTTTCCAGAAGTTTAAAGAAACAGAAAATAGGATGAAAAACATCTGTCAAAAAAAAAGAGAAAAAAATCATAGCAGCTTTGTAAACCCCACAGAGAACTACAACCCTGTAACAAGTTATACCATCTGTTGTCTGTTTGTTTAATGTATTTATAAATTCTAGTGGTTTCAAATTATTTTGTAGTTAGTAATAAAATATTACAAAATTTAATTGAAAAACATTTGGGTTTATGTGTTTATTTAGGACATTAATCTTTCAACATCTTAGTGAACAGCAAAGCAGTACAATAGCCACACATTCATTTACAAGGATTACATGCAAATTAATGTATTTACATCCTCAGTACACAGATATGAATCTAAAGCCATTCCCATATCAGATGGAAAAGGGAGAATTTTCCTTTCTTCAAGCTGTTTTTAAACTTTAAGGCAAGTCATTTATAGCTGTTTCCATGAAGAATACTTCACTCTTTCTGTTCCTCTGTAAAGGTAGAATGAGACATCGGTTTGGAAAGCTTCTAAGAAGTAGTCTCATGACGGATAAAATTCAGGATGTAGGAACTCATTGGTGGGATGACAGTAAGATAGTATGCTTTGGAAATCATGTTTCCCAAATGAAAACATAACTTTAGCATAAGGTAGGATTATCTTAAAGTGATCCACAACAGTTAAGCATTTGCCTAATCTAGTTCTTTTCTAACAAATAAAAGTTGTTTTCATGAAATAGCAGGAAAATTAGCTATAAGACCTCCATTTGAAAAACTGTTGTTGACTTCTAACCCTAAGTAAAACCCAAATCTATGCACATTTTCAAATACAGAATGAATAAGGTCTGTGTTTCTCAGCATGAGTTTTGAACAACAGTAAAAATGGTACACATTGATTAGGGAAAGGAACTATGATTATACGTGAGGGAAATAAAGTTTTATATAATGACATTCTGAATTGCAAAACTGACAAATATGGTGACATCAAGAAACACCAGGCATTATAGTGTGTGAATAAGTAAACAACATATAATATATACAGTTAATAAAAAATAGAGAAGATTGTTGAAACAGAAAATATACTTTATTGTATAATGTACTATAAGAGGAGATAGGACCTGAAGAAAGAGAAGATAAGGAAAATAATGACAAAGGCAATAATCAGGCTATGTTGCATCAGGAAACATAAACACATCTTAAATACAGAATATTTACTGCCTTAATGAACTAAAGTCAGAGAAAGTACACCTGACTTGTATTTACCTCACCATTAGTTGACCCATTTCTTGTAGGCATTATGGAAGAAATAGATCATGAGACATTTAGAAGAGAAGTATTTTCTGTGCGTCTGTGTGTATGAAACAGTATTCCTGAGGCATTCAGTGAATCTGTACTTAATTTCATATGCATTTTATGGTTTGTGTCAGAAGGATATATAGTCTAGCAGTCTTAACAAAAAAACCAAATGTGAGTACATGCATACTGAATAGGTTTGATTATTTGTGTGTTTCGAGGTGCTTGGAAGCTTGAAGGATAGACTCAGCCATTTATTGTCAGCTACTATCAAGTTAAAAAAGCTTTTATGCACAAACCTTTAACCCCATTCCTGCATTGCTTGGTTTCTCTATGATTTACCAGTATTACCAGACGATAGTCTCATTTGTAAATATGAAACGAGACAAGTCATTCTGTGAATGTTAAGACAACATTCTAGTGTTGAATATGAAGCAGGTCTCTGGTGTGGGAAGAGACTGATACTTACCTGAGGAAAGAAAGAGTAAAATATTTTCCAGACATATTCCTCTGGGGTCAGCAAAGATACCTACCTAATGCAGTGCTTCATGATTCTCTAACTTAGAAGAACATTTTGCTAAAATAGAATCCATGTAATTGCTCCTACTCAACTGAAGTGATTGTCCAAGAACAGATTTAGTCTCCACACCTTGCAGCTACTTAACGGTGCATAAATGACAATTGCTCATCCATTAAACAGTGCACCTAGTTTACAGAAGTAAATTGTTGTAAGTGGCGTAAATCTAATGTGGTAAGGCTCCCAGTTCCCTTTGCTTTGATCCTCTTTCCTACTGGTTGCTAAATCATTTGTTGTTTCATGTAGCTTTTTGACTATTTTAATTGTCTGTACCACTTTTAATAGCAATACATGAATATGAGTAAACATCTTGCAGCACAATCTATTCCTATGAGTCTCTGGCAATTGGGGTGACTGTTCAGGTGGCTGGTTTGCCTCACTGTGTTGTGCCAATTATGATGATTCTATTGTACTTTTGTACTGTTGCTAATCTGTGGGGAGTTATGAGGTGAGAATTGTTTTAAAAATAGCAAATGCCAGTGTACAAACGTCATTGGAAAAAGAAGAGTTCATTTCTGCTCAATTTGCTGCTGCACTGAATGAATTCATGCAAGTGAGTATATACTTACCCCATCCCTTTCTTCTACTTCTAATGTTCCTTCTATTTTCCTCACCTTATTACTTAGATAGCCTTGGTTTGGGTACTTCTCTCATGATATCCTTTCAGTTTCTTCCACTGGGCAAACTATTTCCTCCTTCAGATCTTTCCTATAAACATCTGAAAAGTCTAATTCCCAAGTACAAAATAGATGAAAGGTGTGTCCTGGAGTATTTGACCTAGTGCTAGTTGATGGATTTACCGCTGCCCTATGTCTTAGCTTGTTTTCTTGTTTGTATTATTTGGATTGTAATTTCTTCAGGACCAAGAGTCTATGCTATCTAAGCTTACTGGTAATAACACATACAAAATATGAAATTGAAGTAATAGTATTAGTGCCTTGTCCTAGTGTTGGTATAGCTTCTTCAGCTAAACACTCAGATTGCTGTGTTCAAGTTTCTTTTATAGGACTATAGCACTTGGCCCCATCTGCCACACCTTGATGTAATTATTTATCTTGAAAAAAGGGAAACTTCCCAAGGGTCCCAGAGTGAGCCCTCATCCACTAAGAAGCTGTGCTGTAGGTCTCTAGGTGCCTTAAGGGCAAATGTTTTGGCTTCCAACCTCCCCTGTAGCCATACCAATGCCTCACAGATGTTGCTGTTCAATTGCTTTTCCTTCTTGGGACTTTAGCCTTCCTGGCCTCCACCCCTTTCCTTTCACTGGGCCTTCTAACCCAGGCCAGACCTGGCTTTTGGGCCCCAGCCATGATCTCATCTACTTTTGCTCTGGGCCCTTGGCCCTGATATGTGCCCCTGCTTGAGCACCAGACCCCTGGGCTCTGTTTCCACCCTGCTTAGGCACTACTGGGACCTTTTCACCCCTGATAGTTTATACTGGTGGATTGGGTTGGGACTATAACAGGAATAAGGTCTTTGGCTCTAACACAAACTCTATAGCGGTTCTGAACGCAAACACAAGCTTCTTGGCTGTATCACAAAGCTCATCCTACTCTGAGTCATATTCTTCTGCAAGTCAGAAGCATTTTCCAGGGTAGAACAGGTATCAGCCAAGAGCTCTTCCACATCCCTCCCACCCTGGACCTCTTTCCTTTGCAGCCTCCAGGACCTGACTGCTTTACCTGGCTCAGGGTTTATATTCTCCCTAAACCCTGCCCCCCTTCTGGTCAGGTGTTTCCTTGATTGCCTGCAAATGTGTCCCCTTGTCTTACTGGGCAGCTCACTGCTTGGGCAGCAGCCTTTTCTTGCTGCCGCTCACCCCCACATAGCTACCTGGGCTCTATCAGCTGCAGTTTCTCCTTTAAAGTAGCAGGTGCCGTAGACTCACAGGGGCCTATGTGCTCATGCAATATGTGTCCTGCCCTTGCCATCTCTCCTACAGTTCCTTGGCACAGTCTTTCTGTCTGTTAACTGCCCATTCTTTAAATGAATTTTTGTAGATTGGCTGCCCTAGACCCCAAAGAATAATTCTCAAGACTACTAATAGCTTAAGCAAACTCTTCCCTTTTGGGTGCTCTAGATTTATAATCACATTAAAAAATATATGGTAGTGGAGACAGAGTGTCTCTTAGACTTGGAAAGGGTTCCAAAAAACAATCAATTTTTAGCTTAGGTAGCAGAAAAAATCCTCACAGTTTGTGAAAAAACAAAACACCGATATTGTTGTCTGTTCCTCTGTTTCCTCAGCACAAGTGCTGAGCCAGTTTCTAAGAAATGGAGTCTATCCCTTCTCCCTTTTATATGACCAAATCATGAAATACCTGCTTCTGTCCCAACAAAATTCTATCTTCGTCATAAACTAGAACACTCTGCTAAAAACAAGCCTACCTGTTCCCTTCTCTTGCACATGGTATCTTCCACCCCAGGGAGTCTTTCTGGTTTCCTCTGCTTTCTTTTAGAATGTCCAGACCCCTTTATAGGCTGTATAAAGGGGTTCCATCCAATTATATGGTACTTGGTTACTCCTCTACAACGCAGACTTGAAAAATTGGCTTGCCCTGAGTAGTAATCTCCTTGTCTAAGAATCTTGCATGATCACCACATTTTAACTTCTACTCTTATCACTGTGTGACATGTAAGAATTTCTCTTAGTATCTTATTCAGGTTCACTCCCCAAATACTGGCAAAATGAGCAAATACCTCACTTTCAAAAGGGAGTCTAGAGAATCCCTAAAGTTTGTGTGCTGACAGATTTTCCTAATTGTCACATGTATCTCCAGAGTTTAGACTATGGATTTCCAAATAATATCTCAGGATGTTATAGAGGCATTAATAGACTTTCTGAATCTTCCATCAAAAGGCCTAGAAAATTATAATGGAACAACAATGTGGCAGACTTGTCCAAAAGCCCCCTCTACTCTGCTTTCTTTAGCCTTTTATACGTAAAGTGCCTCTGGCAGTTTCATCTTCCCACTACAATATAGTTTTGTCCTCCAAGAAAGTAGTTCTCATGCAATAAATAAAAAAATAAAATCACATTTTCTATTAATTTAGGGTACATAGCTTGGCTATTTGTTTAGCTTGAAAAAGGATATGTGTAAGTTTTGAAACATCTCAGATTGCAAAAAATAAAAATGAGACTTGAGAAACTTTCTCATGGAAATAGTAACAGCCCCAGTGAGATTCATAGGAGTAGAAAAAAAATGTAGGTTGTGTCCTCCTTATTTCTGGATTGTGCTGTTAACCATTCTGATGGCAGATTACTTTGTCAAGAGCCCACAGACAGATAGTGCTGTCTACACAAGTTCAACTTTGAACAATATCAATGAAAGAAAATTTGCTTAATGATGAATGTTATAAAGAGGGTTGTTGTCTTATGTATTAGTATCTCGGAAGTTGGCCTTGGTCAGCTCAAGTGAAAATTGCTGTTCTAAGCTGTCCGCTACTTTGGAACGTACTCAGAATTTATCCTCTGTGCTTTGCTTTAGGATTTAGATATTGGTTTTTGAAATGATGCATGAAATGAAAAATATCTCCCAAGCACAACATAAAGAAAGGTGCTTTTTGTGGTATTGTGACCAATTGAATGCTATTTGCTCAAGATTTGTCTCATTTCCTTAAAAATGCACATATTTCTTAGCTTGTATATTTGTTCATCTATTTTTTTAATTGTCTTGCTCTCCCTCAAAGAATCACAGAAAATAATGGTATGGGACTCAGGAAGAGGAAACAATGTCACACACAGACACTCTGATCAAAGAAGCAGAGTAAGGGAATTACTGGGAAGATGAAACTGGTTTGGGGGATTCTTATTTTGAAGGAAAAAAGGAGTGAGCTCATCCTTCATTTCCCATGAAGAGAAAGAGCCGAGATAAAAAAGAAACTAGTCCTTCACTCCCAGAAAATGAAGAAAACCCTTTAAAAAAAACAACACCTGCCTCCCCCCACCAAAAAAACCCCTTGAAATTGACATCTATTTAAATGTAGATAGTTAAGGAATTTTAAATATTAAATTCTATGGAAAACTGCTACATAATGTAAAATTAAAAGAAAACCATCCCTAAAAGAGGTCTTATCTCATGATATATACAAGTTGTTTCTTATATGCCACTGATATATGCTTTCTACCTGGTATTCAGGGTGTAGTTTATGTCATCTCATTTTTGCAGGAAACAGCTATGAATAATTATCCTCTTCCTCTGTCACTCTATATTGCTCACATCTGGTTACATAGCAAGTACTAAATACAATACATACAGTATTTTAGACTTCTGAAATTTGTGTTCCTATGATATCTGTTTCCAGATCAGACCCTTTTGGCATATTACTTGGATTTAAATTGTAATGGTTCCATGAAAGGCAAGTGCAGGGTGCACAGTGATTAGTTTTAGGAAGCTGCATTAGAAAAATCACTGCAACTTTTAGAAGACATAAGGAAGAGGCAGTCTACAGCAGGATTAAGAAACAGAATTATGCATGAACTTTTATTTCTCTTTCTCATTGTGTTTATTGAAGAGTTTTTTACCAACATATAAGGCCCACTGAGGTCAGTGAGCATCTGTTGACTTCAACAGACCTTTGCACAAGACTTTCAGTATCAGTGGTTCTATTTCTTCCAAATCTTGAGAGCCAGGTATTTCTGTAGAAAAACACAGGAAAAATCAATGTCAGTGGGAAAACACTAATTCTGGGGTTTTTTTAAACTGACCTGTTGGATGACCAGTTCTTCCTTAAATCATCATGGCTTTTTAAATCTCAGGCTAGAAAGGTATTTTTTCCCACTTCCCTGTTTTATGGATTGCTTCTAGAATTGGGCAATTTTTTTCTGTTGAAAACTTTTTTGCAATATGTGTATGTAAATTAGCATGTGCATATTGAACTGTAGAGAAGTAGAGCTGGAAGGGAGCTCATCTAATTCAACCCCCTGCCTGAGGCAAGACCATCCCTATACAACCCATCTTCCACAAATCCATTGTCTAACCTCTTAGTAGAACTACCATAAAGTCTGGCACGACACAAGAAATAACACCCTAACCTGGCACAGGTAAAGCAGGGGGACCACAACAGCCAATATCTTGCTTGTGTAAAAGGTTGTTAATATATGCTGGAGAGATCCCAGATACAAAGAGGCCCATGCCCTTACTACAGAAGGAGACAAAAATCCCCATACACCATATCAATCTGACCAGGGGTAAAATTCCTTCCTGACCCCAAATATAGCAACTGGGGAGGTCGAACAAGACCCTCCAGCCAGGAACCTCCAGCTTTGTTCCAGCAGGATCACTGTCACAACCCAGTTCCCAAACTTGGCTGCAGCCAATGCTCAGTGCTTCTGTAGAAGGCTTAAAAAAAATAAAACAAGACCCCCCCCCCAAACCCTGGCATATGTAGCAAATCAGTCCATGCGGGGCCCTGCTCCTGCTCCAATCCTGTTGGCCCTGGACCTGAGAAGCTGCTGCCACTGCCAACAGCAGTAGTGGCATTGGTGGCGGGGGGTGGGTAGTAGCGAGCGACTGAATGCAGAGCCGCCACTCCGTCCGGCTCTGCACTGACGCTATTCTGCCTGGCTATGGCGCCCCCCAAAGCGCAGAGCCTGAGGCAGTCACCCCGATTTGCCCCCCCTCCCCAGGGACAGCCCTACCTACATCATCCCCAGCCAGTAGCTGTCTGACCTTTTCTTGAACACCTCCAGTGAGTCTACTACTTCCCTAGGCAGTTTGTTCCACTGCCCCACTGTTCTAACAGTTAAGATGTTTTTCCTGACATTCAGTCTAAACCTCCTTTGCTGCAGCTTCAAGCCACTGGCCTGCATCCTACTCTGCAACACTCCACAGCAGTGGTGTGCCACTGCCTGACTGGGCGGCTGCAGAGGGAGACCCCAGAGCCCTTCACTTTCAGCAGCCCCAGGCAGGCAGTGGTGCTCCACTGCTGTAGGGGGAAGACCCTGGAGCCCTTGCAGGAGCCGTGGCCAGGCAGTGAGGCACAACTGCTGGCGGGAGGAGGGAGAAGATCCCAGAGCCCTTCCACCACAGCAGTCCCACCCCCACCTGGGCTGCACCATGGTGCTGTAGCCAGGGCTGCTTCAGGGGACAGATCCTGGAGCCCTTCCCCCACCACTTCGCCCCTTCCCCCACCACTTCCTCCCACCCCCCGGCCAAGCAGTGATGTGCTTCAGCCCAGCTGGGGTGGGTGCCAGGAGAGAGACCCCAGACTCCTAGGATGCATGGAGGCTGGGATCTGAGGCTGTCACTGACTCGGGTCAATGACAGCCAATGGAGTGGGGCTGGCTCAGTTCTTGGTCAGAACACAGGACCTCAGCCTGAGGCTAGAGTGTAGCCCAGTACAACTCTGCTTAGGATGGAAGTGTTCACGTCCTAAGTAAATTTTCAATGGGATCTGGCGCAGCCATTTGATAAAGCGCTCTAAAAGAAAGTGCTTTAGATTAATATACATCCATCCTGTGTTAACGTAGAGCAGGATCCACCATTTTTCAAGTGTTTTTATGTTTCATGAACACCTGTTATGGAAGCTGTAAAGTGCTTTATGTCACTTAAAGCTCATTAAGTGTAATATCTGTACCAACCCCAAATCTTTAATAAGCATGTTGAAAAGAACTGGACCAAGGAAAGACCGCTATGGAGTGGGGTGCATAGGGAATCCATTCAAATCACTCCCTTCTGACATGGATCCATTAACAATTAACCTTTACCTGCAGCTACTGAGCCAGTTGTCTGTCTACCTTATACCATTTTTGTCCAGCCCCCATTTCTCCAATTTGTTTATGAGACAGTCATGGAGTCTTATTGAAGTGCAGATATACTATAACCACAGCATCATCTTCATCCACCCAGGTAGGTACTCTGTCAAAGAAGATCAGGTTTGTTTGATACAATTTATTTTTAGTAAATCAATTTATTCTTAGTAAATCCACGCTGGCTGCTTGTGATCAGCCTTTTTCCTCCACATGTTTGAAAATAGCCTTCTTTAGGATATGCTCCAGTAGCTTTCTAAGTATTGAATTGAGGCTAAATGGTCTGTTGTTATGCCTTTTTCAAAGAGGTTCACTATCTTGGCCCTTTTCCAGTCTTCTGGTGCTTACCCATCTCCCATTACTTTATTAAGATCATTGCCAAAGGATCTAAGATCAATTCTACCAGTTCCTTCAGGACCCTGGGATAAATTTCATCAAGCTCTGCTAACTTGAATTCATTCAAATGCAGCCAAGGCTCTCTTGGCATCTCATCCCTCAGCTTGTCACCTTTCTTATCCAGATAACACACACACACATGCAGAATCAATGATAAAGACACATCTCTGATTTTGTCTTGGTGTTTATGAGATGTTCATGTCCATAATTAGAGCCCAAAAAACTCAAAATATTTCCTCTTGTTATTTACAAAATTGAAGTATTTTAGCATTTTAATTCAAAATTATTTGTCATTTTAAATCATTTTTGAGGTAAAAAATATTTAAAATGTTATGAAATGTTGTTTCTCATTTCTATAGGACTGAAAAACAGAATCAAACTGAAAACTGCAAAATAATTTTATTTGCCTAAAATATTTCACAGTTTTTCATATATTCTAGCAAACTGAAAATAAATATATTCATGTAGCACTATTGTTATTCTGTTAATAGACACACTGAATTTGCTTTTAGAGTGTCCACAGAATTGTTTTCACTGCCAAATTTTTTACTCATCAACTTTAGTAATACATTTCCTATCATTTTAATTACCTTAATGAATAAAAATGTTCACTGGATACATTAAAAAATCCCTTGAATCCTGCACCCTCCTCAACAAATAGTATGCTCACAACTACAGAAGACAAACTGGAAAACAGTATTAGGTTTTCATGAGACCAGTAACCCCAACTAATCCTGCACAGAAAAAACCTTGGGAGTGTACTGTCAATGTAACAGTTCTTATGCCACAGACCAGGAGACATGTCGCACTGTGGAAAAATGGCATAATTTAAAGTAATCTAAAACTTTCATCCAGAATCCCATTCTGCTACTTAAGAACAAGCACACCAGTTACAAGGATCTAAGTAGTTATTTTCTTTCAGCTATTGTGGTTTTGGTAGTGATTTGCTACACTTCAGGACCTGCTCTAAAATCTAATTTCTTCACTGTTTTTTCTGAGGAATGAAAAGGAGATTGAAGGTTGAGATACATAGAAGTGCTTGTGAGGGTGAAGCTTGCTTAAGTGTGCTTTTTAAATTAAGAAGAGGTAGAGGCAGAGAGGTTATTGTTTGTGTATATATTTTCTTTCTTTTTTTAAGATCAATATGTCTTGCCTTACTTGGCTTCTATGTATTAGTGTTTAAGTTATAAGTTATGCCTTGTGTCAAATACATAAGCAGAATGCATATGTTTATATAACAATCTTTGATCTAGTTAATTTATGTAATGTCAATTTATTGTTATTTTCATTATATATTCATAATGCAAGTGATAGAATTCTACTAGTACGATGAAATATTTTGGTGTAAATATGATATAAAATAACTGTGATAAACTGATATAAAGTATTAGGAACTGAGTGTAATTTTCTTATTCTGTTTCACTTAAACATTAAACTATGCATATTGTAAAACTTTGCATGAGATGTTTAATAGTATTCCTGCATTTTCATACTCTGTGGTGTTGATAACTTTTTTTTAGGGTATATCAAGTGTTTAGACATTTAAATTTATATATATATATATATATATATATAT